TATCTTAACCTCAAGATTAAATTTACAGGAAAACCCATGCTAACCGTTTCTCCAAACCAAGATGATTTTTCTTATTTTTTTTTTTGTGATCATCGATTTACAAAGATACACTTAGATTTTTGCTCCCTGTACTGCTGGCACAGCTTCAAGTGCAACAAGACTTCCCTCAAGGTTTTCAAATGACCTTTACCTGGCTGTTGATATATTTTCAAATTGACCATCACAATGTTACAGTGGAAAATATTTACATCTAAATAGTGTTAAGATATGCATAAAATAGACATTTAGGTGGACTAAATTATGTCCAACAACAGAAATCCACTCAGGTGGAGGGTGTGTATTCTGTATCCAATGTAGTGGCCTGTCTTGCATCAATAATGTTAGATGCCAAGCCCAAACGGGCTTACAAGGCAGACTGTCAGTTTCCATGTAGCCTAAATAGGTGTGAAACCAAATATACAAGTTATAGGAAAACATGAATATTCTGTACTTGTCTATTATTCAGTGTAGCTTGCCCGTTTTTTTAAGCGTTAGAAATAGAACTGGCTCATACATTGCCACTCAGTCCAATTTCTCATTTTCATCAAAATGAAATAATTCAGCACTTTTGTTCTGCTTTCCTACAAATGTGCATGCAGGTTATCAGTATGAACGTGCATTCAGTGCATGGGCTGAGACGGCACAATCACAGAGCTCGCTTAAGCTTGCATTGCTATGTCCTGCAAAACCACGCCCAACCGGGTATAAACCTGTTTTAGGGAGTCCAAATACAAGATATACAAAATGAAATAAAATTAACCATGTTTTCAAAACATTTTTAATACAAAACACAATATTTACTCTACATTTACTAGTCTCCCTGTAGAACCTGATCTATTCATTTCACTCCAAAACTTTTGGGGATCATGACTGTGTAGATGAACAGTGCATGAAGAGAGACTTCGGTCACAATTGCCTTTTAGTGCATGCAAAATTTTATCAAATCAGTTTGGACTTCTTCTTAAATTCTTACACACACACACACACACACACACACACACACACACACACACACATTTCTTACATGTGTAGCATGTAGCTTGGTCTTGCTGCAGCAGTAAAAAAAAAATTTAAAAGATATATTTTGGGGCTTTTTTGCCTTTAATTGATAGGACAGTTTATTAGCATCAGAGGGCAAAGAGAGAGGGTATGACATGCAGCTAAGGGCCAAGGGGTTGGAATCAAGCCCGTGGCGGCTGTGGCAAGAACAAGGCTTTTGTACATGGAGTGCCTGCTTTACCAGGTGAGCTAATGGGTGCCTCAGAATTTGCTATTTAAGAAATTTAATGTACACTGAAAAAAATGTTAATGAATTGAGATATAATACATTGGCACATACAAATGATGAGATCATGAAATTAAAATGTCCGTACTGCCCACCTAGAGTTTTAGTCCATTGGACTTTTTTAGTCTTTTTCTTTTTTTTTTTTCTGACTTGGCAGTCCAGCCCATTGACATTGCGTTGAGATACAGATTGATAGGGAAAAGGACAACATGGTGCATGCTTAAGATTTTTTTTATACTTGTCTGAGCTGTGTAATCCTTATTGTTGAAATCCCTCCCATCCCTCAGTAGCTAAACAAACTCATTGTTACCTCTTAGCTCTAAACATGAGGGGTTGGACAAGAACCACAGGTCTAAGGTGTGAGCTCCATGAAAAGCGCTGACTGCTGCTGGGTTTACACATACTGTAGACAAACAGTAAACCTTGGCTGGCCTCATTACGCCCGCTTTGAGCATGGCTGTGGATAAGGATGTATTGATTTTAATGGTCCAACCCTTTTCAGATAAACAGTCCTGGAGGATCGGCTGTCTTTTTTTAAATCAGATTTCACTGGCCTTGAGAAGATAACATAGTGTCCTCACAGTGCTCAAGATCACTCTGTCTATCTTCCCAATTCATCTGGTCACGGTGTGCTGGACATGTGTGTGTTTATAGACAGATAAAGCTGCAGGCCTTATCTCCGAGCCTCCTGGTCTCCCTCTCTCTGCGCTCTACACCTCCTCATTTTCATGTTCTCTCCCTCCTTTTCTCCCCCTTGCTCCCCTCCCTCCTTTCACTCCCCACTGTCTCTTCAGCTTTGCTCCTCATCACTTCCCGTTGTCCTCTTACTCTATTTCTCCTCATCACAGCTGGTTTTAGCTCATCCAGATCAAACAGGAAATTGAGGCGGCTGTCAAGATAACTGAAAATTCACTCTTTGTTCTATTTGAAAGGCTGGCATTAATTTTTATTTGTCAGTTGATTGAGTGTAATATAAGCATTTGGGTTTGAAATGATAAAGCTGAATGATAAATCCTCACTCAAGGATTTTAATACCCGTGGTTAGCCTACTCATGCCATTCAGCCGCTGGCTTTTTAAATGGAGTCATGTAATGGAGTGACGGAGTGATGTTGTCGCAGAATTACAAAGGATTCAGTCTAATTATATGGCTCTGGCTTGTTGTTTGAAGAGGGTGAAGTGTGTGTGTGTGTGTGTGTGTCTGACAGTAAAAGTTTAGCCTCAGCCTGTTGTGAACTGGGTAACTGCTGGTTGGCGAGTGATGGTTGTGTTACCCATCTGCCCTATTTTACACCTGCCTGGCAGTCATTTAAACACATTAACAGCAAAGTTGATCTGAAGCTTATATGAAGCTTCAGCAGTCTGAGTTTGAGAAATTAACTGGGTTTCTTCCAAAGTTACTGCCTTTTTTGTGCAAAATTCCCTCTTTTTATTTCCACCTGCTTCTTTGTTGAACTGAAGTGGAGGGATAATCACACAAACGGGGAATTTTGTACTTAAAGTCTGCAACTTAGGGGGAAAATCCCATTTAATTTCACTGACTAAGTTTTCTGAAGCCTCAAATTAACTTTAACTTAACCTTGGAAGGCTTTTTTGCACAGAGCACTGCAGATTTGTCCTTTGTGTCTTCCATACAAACTGCATTAATATGGAATCTCTTTACAACCAGTCTGAACAATTACAGCAACCAATGCATTGGCTTTTTGATCAGGGAACCACGGTGACACTAAATTTCGCATTGGCCTACAAAAAGATATATCATTCCTGCAGTACTCTATTGCTTTCTGTTTTCCTTCCACTGTTACTTTGTTCCACAGTCACCCAAAAATTAAAACAAAAAACACTATGGATTGTTGGATTATGCACTTTCTTTGTGCCGTAAAATGAGACTTTATTTTCCCAGGAGATTGTACTGGGTGGCAGGCAGATTTGCATGGTGAAAGCGAGGCTTAAAAGGTACCAGTCTAAACACAGATGGTGTCAGTCTATAGCCATTGCATTGTGCAATAAACATTTACTCCATAATGATAAGTTAAAGCAAGAGGACTTGTCACTTTCCACTTTAAGACCGAGTTAAATATATATTGTATTACTACACATATCGGTATCAAAATGACATATAGCATTATCCTCTCCCTCTCTATGCATGCAAGTACACAGTTACGCAGCAAGCTTAACAAGCTTACAACACAGGTTGAAGAAAGAAGAAGTTGGAGTTTTAAGTAGGGCTGCCCTCGACTAAGAATTTTCCTAGTTGACCACTAGTCGCCATTTAGGGCCATTAGTCAACTAGTCTGCTGCATGTTTACTATATTAATGTAATTATTATATTATATATTTTGCGCGGGGCAACACAATGATTTGAGTTCAAGGTGTGAGAAAGAATAGTATCAGTAACGTTTTTAACACTGTGCTACATTACAGAGAAATACAAAACCGGACTAATGAACCTTCATTAATATTTTTTATTATTATTATAATTTTTTTTACAAGTGCGCTTCACACACTGAGCTAGCTGCCTGTTAAATACATTGTTGGCAAAGCAGTAATGATTGTGCTAAGTGGCTAATGGGCATGTAGCTACTTCCATGTTTCAGATGATGCTTTGGAGTCGACGAATGATGCAAATGTTTGCCTGCAGAGTTTGCATATCACCTTGGGTTTGTCCTTCACCTTCTCAAAATAATCCCACACTTTGGATTTCCTGTCCGATATGTTATTAACTAGCCTGTGTGATAATAGTGACTACTGTCAGGCTGCAGAGCGTGGTCACTTCCTGTGTCTGCCCTTTCAAATTAAATTCCCCCATAAGCAACCAATGAAATCTTGCCAACGAATGACTTTTCTGGCCGACCAACGTTTAGTTGACTATAAGGGGGCAGCCCTAGTTTGAAGTTTGTCACAGAGGCAAATATGAAACTAAAACAGTATTGGACAACAAACTCAAAAAGATGAGATCCTATAAACAAGAGTCAGACCAAAGATAAGTTGAGTAATTTGACTATTTGAAGCTGAAAATCGTTGATTAAAGAGGTGTTTGCTCACTCCATCCATTCATTATCTTTATTATCCTCTGCTGGGTTGTGGAGGGCTGCAGTTTATAATGGGCAGGAGACAGAGTACACATGGACAGGTGGCCAGTCTATCACAGGGCTGCTTGATGACTCATACTGTAGATGATAAGACTCCACTGATAAGCTGATGGGCTGATCTAAGTGACAATGTAATACTGATGCCATGTGAATACTGTCATTCCTACACCCTCAGACTTACATTAACACTTACACATTTTTGCTGTTCCTCTTGAAAAACAGGTTCTCTTTGCATGTATTTATTTATTTATTGCATTACTCATCAAAAGCAATGAAATCTGTCACCATTATTGAATTCAGCTCACATGGTTGTTATAATAAATTATTTTAGAACATTTAGGAGAAAATCCCACACATGAATTTTAACAAAGACGCCACAATAGATTATCTCTGAAGTAAAATAATTGATGCAAGTTGTATTTAGATTGACCATTGGTGCCGTCTAACCAACAATGTACTATACGGGGACACAATGAAATAAATAAAGACTGTGAAGATATTATAAACGTATTGATTTTCATGAGTCGTGCACCCTCTGAAACAAATCTAACATCACCTCCCTTCTCTCCTCTTCTTGCTTTTACAGTGCAGTGTCTGGAAATGACCACTAAGCGGAAGCTGATTGGCCGGCTGGTGCCGTGCCGTTGTTTCCGTGGCGAAGAGGAAGTGATCTCAGTGTTGGATTACTCCCACTGCAGCCTGCAGCAGGTCCCCAAGGAAATCTTCAGCTTCGAGAGAACTCTGGAGGAGCTCTACCTCGACGCCAACCAGATTGAGGAACTACCCAAGGTAACTCCGAACCACATGTCAGCCCCTTTAACCCTTGCCAAGCAAAACCTAAATGTGATCCTTGCAAATTCCTGGCCTCATGGAGACTAGCAATAAGTTATAAAATTAAAAATAATCTTTTTTCATAAACTGCTTTTCAAAATAGAGTAACCAAGTGCTTAACATGTCAACAATAAAACAGACAAGACATGAAACCAACAACTTTCAAAAGAACTGATTAAAACATTTTGGTATATAAAAACTAAGGAAATAAAAGACAGCTTAAATGAACTTAAGACTCAAGTAAAATCAGGAATGGCTCTCTGATTAAAGTTTAAGAAGAGACTTAAAAGAGATCACTGACTCTGCCAACCTGATTTCCTCAGATTGCTCCAGAGCCTCGGGCCCTGACAGCAAACGCTCTGTCCCTTTTAGTTTTCAGCCAGGCCTCTGGTGCAGACAAAAGACCTCTGCCGAAGGACCACAAAGTACATTCTGGTGTGTACAGTACTAAGAGGTCAGTGGATGGATTCTTTTTACAGTATCGCTTTCCTCAAGGTGATACATGTAAATGTACTGAACCTTTCAAGTTCTGATACCTCTTGCAAAATATAGTATCGGTTTCTCTGTGACACTCTGTTGCAGTGTATGCATGTTCAAGAGCTAATGCTGCCCGCCCCTAAAAACTTCTCTTTAATGCTTTACCAGTCATCATGTATAAGTTTACATTAATAAAAAATATAATAACCATTTAATGCATTGATTCAGCATCTCACTTGTATGTAGGTGGGTGATGTAAGCTCAATACAATGTTACAAAAATGTCACTGACCAATGGTCTGTCAAGTAGCAGACGTCCCACTTCGCGAACGGTTCTTTTGGTCTCGTTCAGTGAGTGTAGCTGTCAGGCTGTCTTGACTTGAGTCCAGTTCATTCGCTTTTTGTTAACTCACAGTAGAAGGAACCGTCAGCAGTATCCTACGATAACAGAGTAGGCAAGTAGGGACAGTCGGAGATTCATGAGCACGTTATTTGACAGACTGATTTGACAAGATTTGTTTCTTCATTTTCACCCATCATTTATGAAGACCTACACTTGGACCAATATGCATTGCACCTTCTTATGGCCGCGATCACTTTAATTAAAATATACTGTTTGCTCCACATTTTGTTCTGGGGAGCTGTGACGTACTTTTTATTTTTTTAAATGTTGGTGGAAAGCACAGCAAATATGCATTTTTTCACTTAAACGATGCAGAAAGTGTAAATATAACATATATTTTATTGCTTTGTGGTATTTGACAAAGGTCGATCTCTGTTCTTTTAGAATGTTGATGTGAACAGACCCTTCATCATGAACTCCACTCCTAATTTTAACCCCACTTATCCTCACTATAACTATGACTTACTCCCACAGAAATTGACACTTAAATGTATATTTGTATTGCAGGAACCTATTAACTTGTACAGGGAGGCATTGGTGATGATAACATAAAGAAGTTTACACTTAAGAAAAAAGTCTAGACTTTTTAGAGTCTGAGGGTGGCATCAAGGCCATGCTGGTACCTAAACAAAAACGGTTTATCCTCTGGACTGTTGCCAATCCAGAACATCTTGCACTCAGCTTGTCAGTGTACATTGCAGTTTTCATCACTGTACTTTGTCAGCCTGATTGCTTTGAACTGAATGCTGTTAGTCTTTACAAAGTCATTGGGATTCTTCCTCTATGGATCATCGCAGTTCGGCTATATTTCCAAGTCCTAAGAAAGTTCAGTAATTGTAAACATGAGCATCTCAATCTCAAAGCCAGAAACCACACAAGTAAATCTCAAACTTGTCATGTAATCAAGTGTAAAGTCTGAAGGTGCATGTACAATGAATGGGAGACTGATTTCGTGGACCTGCAGAATGTTTGTTTTCTTTTTTATACCCACCTGAGCTTTATTCTATTGTCGTGTTCTCAGTTCGGAAACAGAAAATGTTCCCATATGCTCAGAACATTCCTCTGGGTGCTCTCAGTTTTATCTATAACATCTTTCCCAATTCATTGTCTATGGAGCAACTCCAGACTTTATACCTTATGACATCACTAATTTGAGTTTTCTTACTCTAGTTTTTGGATTTGTGAGAGTTGTTCATATTTACTTATATTTTTGGACTGTCTTTGACCAAAGAAATAGCATGTAATAATTTTGACTATAGGAGTAGTTCCCCTTTAAGTCAATGGGCTCCAGTTTCCCGGCGCTGCGCAGAGCTAGTTTTGAGCAGCGCAACCCGAGGCACGCTCAGTTTGGTAGTTTGGCAGATCAAGGTGCGCTGAGATGGGTGTGGCGGCACAGCAGGGGGAGGTGTCGACAGATCCAGCTTGGCGCAGTGACAGTTTCGTGCCAAAAGGCTTCGCCGAAGGTGCACTAAAAGCTCGCCAGCTGAAACCAGGTCTACTGTCAGCGCAGGCGGAGCGCAGCCAGTGTAGTGGGAGTTTGGCTGACCGGCGGACAGTGCGCACACGTCACCAAAACCTCACAGGCAGGTTTCCAGAATGTCAGGCACATTAATAATGCAATAAATACCCCCAAAAAAACCACTATCCAATACAACTATCTGCAATCAGCACATAAATGTATCTCTATATCGACTGTCCCGTCACGTGATGTCAGATCAAAGTGGATTGGCACCGTTTGGCACGCGTAATGGAAACCCAACCTGATTTGATTAACACAGCTGCAAACTACGGAGTTCACATCCCTCTCAGCCAACCACAAACAGCCACAGCATCAGATAGGGAGTATATATTCAGCATCTGTCATCTTAGAAAAGTCAAAAGAAAAGAAACAGAGTGAGACTATGAGAGAGAAAGAGAGAGCGCGCGCACGCATGAGAGAAACGCAACATTGATTTACAATTGTGGTGACCTCCTCCCAGGCTACCTTTGCATCATCAGCCCGTGGAGGTCTGCTCGCAGTTCCGTATATTCGGAAGCTGCGAGCTTGGACCTCCCGGACCAAAACATTAGTTTCCTCCTGGGAGAAGTTTGGTCGTCTGACGCTACTGCTCTCTTCTGCCATGGCGAATTTAGTAAACTCTCATTACGCCTTCGTGCGGCGCATTTAAGGGCGAGGAGGGGGGCTCATTTGATTGGTGTGATGTGTATAAAACCCACTCCACGCCTTCTCTCCTCCCTCTTTCCGACTTGCCCAGGTAGGAGGGACGGAGGTGGGTAAGAGGAGTAGCTGCGCCAGGGCGCACGGTGTGCCAAACTTGCAAAATCTGCCTGGCCACACCCAGTTGGCGAAGCGCAGGTGCGCTGCGCCTTGCCTGGTCTGCGAAACTAGAGGCCTATGTTTCACTCTGGACTGCTTCCTTCCTTCGTTGCAGTTTGTAAATTTGTGATTTTGTGCTATGTAAACAAAATGTTCTTGACTTGACCAGCCAACTTAACAACATTCCAAGAGAAAAGTAACGTTTGAAGAGTCTTGAGACTTAAACTAGCAGAATTGTTTTTTTCTGGCATGCGTGTAATGTACAAATATCATCCATACTAGACAACAGCAAGAGACAGGCAACTACTGATGCTTTCCAGTCGCTGATTGCAAACTGTAGGGAGCAAGCAATACTCAGTTTAAAGGGAACTGGGAACTGTGTAGGGAAGAACTGAACAATGGCTCATCAGTACAGCAGTTGACGAGCAAGATTACCCATCAATCATTGTGCCTTGTCTACAAGAAAGCTAAATTCTTTGCGAGCCAAACCAGTAGTGAAGTTATGACTCTGTGTAACTTGAATATTACAACATGTGTACATTACCAGGGTAAGCTACAGGGGAAGTGATGTCTGCGTTGGTATCATTGCATGGTGTTCAGAATGGTGAAGTCTTGTCAAGGGCAGAACCGACATTCACTGAACAGGGAGTCTGGTCAGGGAGTACTTCTTATGTTCATTGTGGCACGGAATGCAGCTATGGGGTGACAGAGTCATCTGAGGCCACGTGAGACTTTCAGAAAACCCTCACGTGAGCAGTAATGAGGTGAATTGCCCTTCCAGTATTTCAAGGAGAATTACAGGTGCTGTTTATAAGAGGGCTGTCTCATTTTATTGATATCCTGTCCTGGTTTAAATGACAGAGATGTTGAATTGGATTTCTAAATATAACCCGCATGAATGGAGACAGTCTAATAGGGCTGTGTGAGTGGCAGGCCAAACTTGTTGCAACCGACAAAAAGCCTTGACAATGTGTATGTGTATGTGTGCCAAGAAATATAAGAGCTATCACGGCTGCCAGAGTGATTGGCCTTTATGTAAGAGAATTGGAGAGCTCCTTAAGTGTGTGTGAGTAAGTGATTGTGTCCTTAAGTAGCGAGGCCTGGCCTGACCCACAGGCACAGAGCAGCCTTTTCCATGTTTAGCTTGATCTGGCTCTTCGGCCCCGGTGCTCCTGTTATTTTTATTTTTGACAACAGTGACAGCGAGGTGTGACAGAGTAAATGTGGCTGGCGTCTTAACACTACAATAAAATATACAGACACAATGATTTTGTCCAAGAAACAGCCTTATATTTTGTGCAGTTTATGATTTAGTCACAATGATTTCATTCTTTAAATGTTTGCATGGGTTTCCTTCCTTTGTGCAGGTTAGGTGACTTGAAGAGTGTCTGCAGGAATGAATAGGAGTGAGCATTATGTTTGTTTGAGAAAAGAACACATCAGAAATTGCACATCATAAGATAAGAGTTGCTACACAATAAATCACACTCAGTTGTTGAGGTCTGGGTGACACTTAGCAGATGAAGGTCCAACTCTCAGATAGCACATTGGTGTTGTGGAAATCAGCACACCATGAAAGTGTTTTGGCGTATTTGATTTGAATTGATTTTTTAAAGTGATATTTTAATTATTTATTAGCTCTTAAGAGACCTCATATTAAATATCAATGTGAATTCAGTTCTACTGGTATGCAGTTGATCCTCAGCATTTTACCCAGTGGGGATGCCGCACCACCTACAATGACATGGATGTAATTGAGGTCACCTGTTCAGAAGGCACCAAGCACGAGGCAAATTCTGTCCCTTACCCAGATGATGCTCGCGCTGTACAGGCAAGAGTGTGGTTATCTACTGAAGAGTCCTCAGAGTGATAATTTATTTTTATGGTCTCTCTTTTAAGGAAAAAAACCCAACTAAAACGAACACTATCTTTTTAGCTTAGGCTAAGAGATGTGGAAAATTGTGTACATATGCTGTTAATGACCAATTACCAACCACAAATTGTTTTTTTTTTTTTTTTGGTACTTTTTTATTTTGATATTGGTAAATTGAATGGGTGAATGGAGCGCTGCACACCAATCAAGGATTGATATTATATACATTAGTGGATAGGATAGTTTTTCCACCATCATGTCTCACTTTGTTTTGGATTTTTAGATTGTTACAGATGCAGACATCATGTCTACTGGAGTCTTACACAGGAACTTCGCTTAAATTGATTTTAAAGAATCCATGACTTAAAAAGGGTTTGAAATTTGCTGACTATACCTGAAAATCATTTAACTTGGGTTTTTTTTTTTGTTATTTTATTCCATTCCATTCCCATCGTCATCCACCATGAAGTGATCATTTAAATATATATATTTTTTATTTATTTATTTATTTTCATAGGAAAAAAATATGCTTTGGGGAGGTATATGTGAATGAAGGTTATACAGATGGTGTGTTAACAGCTCTGTTGCTTCACATAGCTGCTAGCATCATCATAGATTCATAAATATAAATTTGTTAATTTAGCAGCGGGAAGTCTTGGAGGTCCCAAGAGGGCAGAAGAAAGACAGCAGTACTAGTTTATACATTATATGAGACAGATGTTAATCAATAGAGGTTTTATGGACTGCAGATTAGGGATGCACCGATCTGATATCTGGATCGAATATTGGCCCGATATCATCAAAACAGATGGATCGGGTATCGGAAAATGCAACCTATACCTGAGGCTATCCTTTCCCTTTAAATCTATTGTGACGCAAGCTCTGTCATACATCATGGAGCGAATTAGTGAATCTGCTGTGTGGACGTATTTCACACTATTTCAACTGCTGTTACACAATTGTTTATTTTTGTTAAATATAAATAGTTCATCATTGCATTAATCTGTTTCATCTTGTTTCATTTTATCTTAGGAAAGAACTGTGTAGTCATCAATACCTGATGCCTCTAGTCTTTTCTGTTGACAAGGCCACCGTGAGGAAGAAGTGTTCTTTGTTAGTTAGTAAAACAGTTTATTGTTGCTTCTGAGCCAGTGGAAATTCTAACTTAAAATGAATAAAGATTCTTGATTAATTTAACACTAAATTTTTACTGCTGTTTTCAAAACATCCATGCACATTTCACTGTTAGCTCTTGATGATGGACTTTATTCCTGAGCATGAAAGCCTGTTCTTGAGCTTGACGTATCTGTCATTAAAACAGTTGAAAGCTCTTGAAAAAGATAGATGTGGACTTTGACAGGGTTTTTTTTGTTTTTTTTGTTTTTTTTTGCTTCTGACTTTTGTATGTATTTTAGTATTTGTAGCATTTTATTTCCCTTTATGTCTGTGTGTCTTTCTGTTCTGTGTTTTGCTATTTCCAGTTTAGCCTTTCTGTACTCTTTCCTTTTTATGCATGTGCTTTCACTCTTGTATTTTGGCATTTGCAGTGTTTTCCTATTAAGGGCACATTTCCCTGAATGTTTTTGCTTTCACTCAAGTGTGTGTTTTGTCCCTTGGGGCCACCGTATGTAGGAGATTAATTCTGCATTATTCATTGAAAAAAGGCAGCTAAAATGGCACTGCTTTTCCACAACATTAAGTGGAGCATGCCTCCAGCTGACGTTCTCGCTCTCTGTCCTTTTGTACCTTTCTACTAAAGGTCTGCGTGATTTTGCCAACAGACTATAATATTCCATTGTTTCGCCTCTGTGTTTCCATAGCAACTCTTCAACTGCCAGGCCTTGAAGAAGCTGAGCATGCCCGATAACGACCTGTCCAACCTGCCCACCACCATCGCCAGCTTGGTTAACCTCAAAGAGCTAGACATCAGTAAAAACGGTAAAAATCCTCTCTGTAACATGATGACGAATCCAACCTGAACGAACCTGAAAACAAAGCAAACCTCAGCAAAGTAAAAGTCTACTGCAAACTTACCTTCTCAACTTAAGTTTGTCCAGATACAGTAAAGTATGTGGAGGTGAGCAGGTAAGGAAACAAGGGTAGCACAGATCTCAAATAGCCAATAGTAAAACCTCATAATCAAAATAATTTCATTTCCCAAGTATTTTAGCAAAATGTGACAGTCTAAACACTTGCAAAGCTCACTGTAGATAATAGGGTTGGGTAATATGACAGAATATACCATGCCGCATAGAAATGTCAATGTGAAATTTAGCAATACTGTGTCTACCGGGGATGCTGTTTAAGACAGGCTACTGTATGTACCCAAGCAGAGTCTCCTCATAGAACAGTTCATATGATGACCTACGAAAATGCACACACAGTGATTTGTATGATATCCTACAAATTAGCACCCCCAAATGTTATTACGTACTTAACGTGAAGTTACGCACTTAGCGTAAAGTTACAGATTTTAGGTTTAGGCAAGGAAAATTACTGTGGTTAGGTTTAGGAAAAGAAACATGGTGATGAAGTACTTGCAGATATGACTCAAAATTCAGTCAAAGTTCACACACTTCCAAACACCAGTCTCTTGGTAGAAGTCCCATGGGAAAGTCCTCTGTTTTGTGACCCGTCTACCTCCCCAATCTACCACCTTAAGGGACCACTTCCTTCTTTATTCTTTACTCGCATCAGCACCTCAGTCCTGTGATCGCAGCCTTCCAAAATACATGGATTAAACACAAATTACTGTCTCATGATTATGTAGGATATGTATGAATTTTGTTGCATACTTTTTGTAGAAAAGCATATGAACAGTGTGTGACAATGGACCAAAAATCAGGGCTGGATTGTTGCATAATCTCATCATTCTTGTGATTGAATCCAAGCCTACAGGGAGTGTGCAGGTTTGGATTCAAATAAACACAAGAAGTTTGTGCTCTAATAAAAAAAAAAAAAAAAAAGGGATCAGCACTCAGTGAATAATCCTCCTAAGCCCTACGATAAGCTATTATGGCAAGGCTTAACTATACAGACCCGTGAGCAGTGATAACTAACATGTCTTTGGGGTCATCGGGTGGGAACCTCCTTTCACCGGTGTTTCGTCTAGTTAGTCCCACGACACCTCCAGGAGGCTAGACAGTGATCTCTGGCGTCCCAGAGACACTCCCCTAATGCCAGGTCTCACTGCTCCCCACACTAACCGAACAACCTCCTTTACCTTACCTATACTACCACAGAGGAGGTAGACCCAGGGAAGGAAGCCTTGTTAGGCTATCACACTCCCCCGCCGGGTTAGGCTGTACAGTCTACCTCCCCAGGACGAGCCCTCACAACAATGACACCTCCAGGAGGCTGGACAGTGATCTCAGCCCAAACAGCACTGCCAACTTCAACCAAGCCCAGGCTCCGTTTATGCGAGCTCCAGGCAGAAGCAATGCTGATACTACCTTTACTAGCACATTCACCATACTCTATTTCACACGCTACATAGCATAACTACAATGTAAGCTAAAGTTAAAGGAGATAAATGAACTCACAGGATCAGCAAACACACTCACTTTGCAGCATGGTCTCAAACAAAATGGATTCAAATAGGCCACTCCCACACTTAAATAACCTTCCTCTTCCTGGATTTCCTTCTTACTTACACATGGCTTTCTCAGCCCAAACAGCACTGCCATCTTCAACCAAACCCAGGCTCCATACATGCGAGCTCCAGGCAGAAGCAATGCTGATACTAGCTTTCCTGTCACATTCACCATACTCTATTTCACACACTACATAGCATAACTACAATATAAGCTAAAGTTAAAGGAGCTAACTGGACTTACAGGATCAGCAAGCACACTCACCTTGCCGCATGGCCTCAAACAAAATGGATTCCAATAGGCCACTCCCACACTTAAATACTTCCTCTTCCTGGATTTCTCCTGACAGGAAGTGGATCTCTCCACCTGATCTCAAGGAGTTATGTGCCCTGCTTAGTAGTTCCCCCTGCTGGCCCCCAGCTGACATTATTTCTTCTGTAATAGATAAACTGGCTGCATTTAATTGCTTCATCTGACATTTCCCTCACTGTCTTCCTCAAATTCTGTCCCCGCACTCCGAGTTCCCCCAGGAGTGAGACAGTTGATCTTGCTATGAATCCCCTACACCCCACTTCCACTGGACAAATCCTAGTCTTCCATCCTCGCTGCTCAGCTTCTGCTCCTAAGTCTGCATATCTAAGCTTTTTTCTTTCATAGGCTTCTTCCACTGAGTCTTCCCAAGGAACTGTCAGCTCAATGAAATAAACTATCTGTTGACTCACTGACCACAACACTAAGTCAGGCCTCTGCCTGGTACAGACTATTTCCTGAGGAACAACAAGCTTTCCCCCTAAATCTACTTGCATTTCCCAATCACAAGCACCTTCTAGGCGGCCACACCCTTGCCTCCTCACTAACTTATCCCTTCTGTATTTCTCTCCCTCACGGACAAACTGAATTACTAAGCCCCTATCCTTAACACCTTCTGAATTCACCTGTCTTCGTTTCCCTTCGATGCCTGCAGCTAAACATTTCAACACCTGATTATGTCGCCATGTATATCGGCCTTGTGACAAGCTAACTTTACAGCCTGACAAAATATGCTTTAAAGTTGCGGTACGTGAACACAATGGGCATGATGGGTCCTCATTTACCCACAGTTTTAGGTTCTGGGGGGTTGGTAACACATCGTATGTAGCCCCTACCAGGAATCTAATACGATTCTCCTCCATACTCCACAGGTCCCTCCAACTAAGCTTCCTCTTCTCTACACTTTCCCAATTCAACCACTGTCCCTGTTTAGCCTGGGCCACTACCTTTGCACCCCTTACTATCTCTTCCTGTCTGCGTATCTGTTCTACAACCAGCTTTCTTTTATCTTTGAGGCCTGCTGTATTCCATACCGGTTTACCTGAGCCAAGCCCCAGGCCTCCCCGGCCAAACTGAACATTACCTACAATCTCTGCATGTCTAAGAGCTGCCTCTGCCTCCTGAACTGCCGATCTTGGGTTCCACTTCCTCCCCTTGGTTGGATTTGGAACCACACTCCTAACTACCACGTCCTTACTCCCAGATAACAAGAGCTCTGTCCTGACCTTGGTACATTTAAATTCCTCTGTTAAACTAGATACTGGCAGCTGAAGTATCCCTTTTCCATACAATGCAACACTACTTAGGCACCTAGGAGCGCCCAACCACTTCCTAATGTAGGAGCTAACCGACCTTTCCATTCTCTCCACAACAGATATTGGAATTTCATAAACTGACAATGGCCACATTAACCTAGGATATAGCCCAAATTGCAAACACCACAACTTCAACTTTCCTGGAAGTTCTGATTTATCTATTCTATCCAATCCTTCAGCCACATCTTTTCTAAATTTCACCACCTGTTCCTTATCATTCAACTCTACATTGTACCACCTACCTAAGCTCTTTACTGACTTTTCCCTAATTGTTGGGATGTCCTCATCATCTATGACAAACTTCCTATCACTTAACTTCCCTCTACATATCGAGATGCTTCTAGATTTACTAGGCTTGATTTTCATGCTGGCCCACTTGAGGTTCTTATTTACCTTCTCTAGTAGCCTCTTTGTACATGGCATTGTTGTGGTCACCAGTGTCATGTCATCCATGTAAGCCCTAACTGGTGGAAGATGCAACCCATTCTGCCGTCTCTCCCCACCTACCACCCACTTAGAAGCCCTGATGATTACTTCCATTGCCATAGTAAATGCTAATGGAGAAATTGTACACCCTGCCATGATGCCTATTTCTAGCCTCTGCCAACCTGTTGTGAAACCTGCTGTACTTAGACACAACCTAATATCCTGAAAATATGCTTTCACTAAGTTAACAACTACCTGTGGCACTCTGAAGTAGTCAAACGCACTCCAAATGAGGCTGTGCGGTACTGAACCAAACGCATTTGCAAGATCTAAAAATATTACATGTAGGTCCCTTTTGTTAATCTTCGCTGCCTGAATCTGGTGCCAGATCATGCTAGTATGCTCTAAACACCCTGAAAAACCTGGTATTCCTGCCTTCTGCACCATGGTATCTATTAAGCTATTCCTTTCTAAGTAGCTAGCTAGTCTCTGCGCTACTACACTAAAGAAAATCTTCCCCTCCACATTCAAGAGAGAAATCATCCGGAACTGGCTAAGGTCCACAGACTCCTTCTCCTTAGGAATGAGGACACCCCCTGCCCTACGCCATGCTCTTGGTATAATTTGTTTTTCCCAAACTATTCTTAGCTGTTTCCACAAAAATTTAAGGGTATCAGGCGCACTTTTATAAACCCGGTAGGGGACTCCATTAGGCCCTGGGGCCGAAGAAGCCTTTGCACGCCTGACCACCTCCTGAACTTCCTTCCACCTAGGTGGCCTGACATCCATCTCATGCTCTATCCCTCCTAATGGAGGGATATCAGGTGGGAAACCTACTATCCTATTCTTCTCCAAATCTGAATACGTGTTTCTCAAATATTCTTCAACCTCTAACCTTTCTGCTTTAAGCTGCCCTCCCTTTTCCTGGCTGAACAATCCTTTAACAAACTTAAAAGGGTCCCTGAAAAAACCTGTCCTAGCATATTCCTTCTTCCTCCTCTTTTTCCTGAGCCAATTTCGTAGTGAGTGGCCAAACAATGTAATTACATCCACCATGAGATGCCCTGGGGCCCAGAAAGACTTTTTCCACATAGACTTGCATGGCTTAAGAAATAAGTGGATACATTTTTTGACATCACACCCCCTGCGAAATAATTAATTTCAGAATTTGATTCATTTGCTCCAGTAACATTTGCAATGTCTAGAAGAGCAATTCAATCACATTATCCCCATTTTAGTTCAGCAAGATGCGAAACTGAAAGTCGTTGGCTCACCTGGCTGAAGTCTCTAGTGCACCTGCTCTATGGGCCACACAGTGCGGAAGCAGTGCCGATCATCTGGGTAATTTTAAAGGCGGCAGTTTAACTTTTTTCTTCATCCACTGCTGAGCAACATTCATAGTAATGAATGGGGCTCCGCCTCCTTCTCCAACACTGTATCCAGTTCTCTTTATACATCCATGATTGAGTCCAGCTGCAAGATTATGTGACCTGGGCAGACATGGAGGAGGAGAGTGAAGTTGTAAATATAGAAACCTGTAAAAATTATTGTGCCCAGTAACCTCAACACTTCTATTTTAAAAGATTTTAGTTTTGCAGGTGTAAAGTCTATTGAAGTTCCAAATGAAGAAAGAAAATAATCATATCTGATGAAGTACGGCATGGTTACTTTAAACTACTTGTTAACTGAATTCACATAACAGTTACTGTATCTTGATATACAAAGTTATCGTCATATAAAGTTGCATGTACTGTGATAGAAGATTTTGGCCCTTGTAGATAATAATTCCCTGCCTTTATAGGATTTCACTCAACAAAAATAAATAACACATGCCACTACATTTCCTCTCCCCTCTGTCTTGCTCTGTTACAGGTATCCAGGAGTTTCCAGACAATATAAAATGCTGTAAAGGCCTGTCTGTGGTGGAGGCCAGTGTCAACCCTATCACCAAGTAAGACACCAACACATACATCTTACTCATATTACAGCTGCTGAATCCGTTGGAATACTCAGACCTCTGGTTTGAGGTCATGAAATATTAAAGTTTATGTCCAGCACATTTTGCAAGGTGGACACATAGCTGCACAGACAATAAACTGAAAAATACAGGGACTCATTTATCTGCTTCTGGATAACAACCTGAGATAAAACACTGACTCTGTCATCCTAAAAATAAACATCTCTCAAACACTTTCAAATTGGCTCGTTTATAGTATCTTTTGGAACCAGGATCTATTGACGGTAGAAAACTGTGTTCCATATTTTGTTGATAGCACCAAATTTATCTACCGGTTTGAATGGACCTGGACTCAGCTCAGTGTGTGATGGATTGTTTGATGCATGTGCTACAGTATGTACTGTATTCAGCTGTTTGTGCAGATTTTTCTCTGCCAAAGAGATCGACACTGTTCAAGATTTTTTTCCCCTGCTTTTACGTATTCCAATCCATACATATATAGCACCACAGAGGCGCTAAATATTTTATAACAGTTGGCTGCATCCACAGACCCTACACTGCCATACAACCATATATATGTTATTGGCTCAGCTATTGCTCGACATTAGAAGATATAATTGCTACAATAAAGAACTGATGTTGTTTACTATTAGAGCATCAGGTGTTACGGCAGTAATTGCTGTTTTCCTGTTGGCGTAATGTCCATGAAGCACAACTGGACTCAACCACACAGTATACTGCAGACAGAGATGCTTCTTTTACTTTGTGCGTGTGTGTTTATGCGTGCAGGAGATGAGTCATCTGCGGACTAACAGCAGTTAGCTGTTTCTACAGGGTTGTTATGGGAACAATGTCCGTGGCTCTTCAAGGACACACATTTTATTTTTGTTACTCTTCTTTTCCATATGTTCTTATTTTATTTGTGTCTTTCTGCCTCTCCCCCTTTCTCTCTGTTCCAGACTCCCAGATGGTTTTACGCAGCTCCTGAATCTGACCCAGCTCTTCTTAAACGATGCCTTCTTAGAGTATCTGCCGGCTAACTTTGGCAGGTAAAGGGATGCATGTATTGTTAGTGTGCACTGGTTGTGACTGGGGGTGGTGGGCAAAGCCAGGTTTGTCAGCCTTTATGCTTTATGTATTGCACATACTTAAATGTTTTTTGATTATTTAAAAAGCTGGTAATGAGGCACGATAACCCTGAGGCTTAGGCCTTTTATGGAATTTTATCTTTAGGGCATCTTTTATATTTGAGGCATGTTTTCATCTCCCAAAAAATATATGGCTGTTCCAAGGTGTTCTCATTCCAAGTCATCACATATGGCAGCTTTGTCAGTGGCCATTCACATCTACATATTATGCACTGTTTAACCCAGGATGCTGCAAGTAACGCCAGGATGTCAACAGAAGTGCATGGTTAGGTTTATAAAAAACATCATGATTTGGCTCTACATTCATACAGGAAGCAAACACATGCTCCCAGGTGAAAGCCTGTGGTTTGTTGAACCCATCTACCACCATTAGAGACTTTGCAGCTCCTTATGTTATGTCATTACTGCCGGTGTTTGAACCTGACGGCATCCAGCGGCATATCATACCACTGCTACAGGTGCCATTCGGCTGACCGGGGCATATCATAACACCACGAAAGGTTGCATCCAGCTGCATAACAAACTGACGCAGACATCACTGACAAAGCGGAGGTATTTGACAACTTCAGAGTGAGAATGGGCTGTCTAATCCTGTTCCATTCAATCAGTTAACCCATAAATACACTTTTGGCATTTCATTCAGGTGAAGTCATGGTGTTGTATTTTTGGTTTATTGCTTTATTACAATTCTATTTCCAACAAGTTGTTCTGCAGGTTTTATTCTGTTATTGCGGGTGAGGGCAGCTTGTACTGGTCAGTTCATGATGAATTTCAAATGAAATCCTGTGAAATATGAAGAAACTCATGAGTGACACTGATTAGAAAACACATTTGAAACTGGTTCTGGCCTGGGTCTTTTTCTACATTTTATTTTTTTTAACCAAATACATTTTTCATTTATGTTCCTTTTGTTTATCAGACTCTCCAAACTACGGATCCTGGAGCTCAGAGAGAACCACCTGAAAACCATGCCAAAGTAAGACAAACTGCCATAACTATGTGTGAGAAAGAAAGAAAAGAAGGGAAGACACAAAATTTGCACACTCACAAACACACAAACACAGATGCTTCATGATATTACTGAGTGTACGTTTGCTTTCCCAGGTGTTCAGACTAAAACTATATTTATCCCTGGCAGGTGGTCTTGAATACTAATGAAGCCTGTCATAACAGTAATGTGTTTTTAGTTAGTAGTTTTAAATGTTTCCTGTTAACCATTAAAACTGTACCTTATACAGATAACTTTCAAAAATGTAGAGTAAACATGATTTAAATTAAAATAGATTATGAAAAGCATTAATAACAATGCCAATAATACTGCTGCTGCAATTTCTACTTTACAAGTACAACTACCACTGCACAGCCGTCCTTGCACTTTAACTATTAATATGGTTAATAGTATCTGTTGGCTGTTGATCTGCTTCCTAAATGTGAGCATCATTAGCCAAGGTTTTTCCTTAAAATGTTTTAAGTTGCAGGGGAATCACACCATTGCTCTCCAACTAGCTAACCTGAGAAAGAAAGGGACATTCATGTCTCCAAAATGTAAATTAAATGATAGTAAATATTAAAAAGGAAAGATGCAGCTTTAGTAAACATCACTCCCCAGGAAACTATACCACATTTGCCCTATTTTTTTCTTTACTAGCATTATGGACAATGCTACAACACATATTAATCTTTGAGCATATACAGTAAGCATACATCCTAAATGCCACCATTCAGTAGAAAGACTTTCTCAGTAATCATTCTGTGCAGTTAGTAGATCATTTGATACTGTTGTGTCTTTGCTTTGACACTTTATTCTAAATATAAAACAGCACTTTGACCCATTTGTGTACACACTAAAGTCAACATGGGCTTACAGAAATTTGCCTGAATACAAAATTAGTTGCATTATTCTTTCCAAACTTCTCTAATTATGGACACTGCATGCATCATCAAAGGCAAATTATCCACGGCAGCATTCTAGATGCTACTTCTAAATTAAAGCAGAACAGAAACACAATAACAATCTTAACGCCAGAATAAATTTACAGTTCTGCAAACCAAGAATACATTATATTTGTGTATTTTTCAGCAGAATTGAAACTTTCATCTCAACAGTGCTTTGACGAAGGTATGTTTAGGTTTAGGCACTAAATCCACTTGGTTTTGGTTAGGAAAATCAATCAATCATGTTTTGGTTTAAAACATCCACCCCTGGTGGTACAAAAGTTGCTGAAAAAGTAATGATGGGTCGGTAAAAAATACCCAAGTTTGGTGGCTCAAACACTGCAAGAAAAAGCTGCAATGTGCCAGAAATTCCATTGGGAAATTACACAATGTGTAGCTAAAACCACTTAGGTTTGGTGCTACACACAAGGTGCTGTTGTTTGTTGGTCTCAAACAGTGATCTGTAGCTTGGCAGCTGTGTTGCCCAGGTATAAGGCCATCCACCATTCCCTCCACCTCCTGATGAGAAAAACAGCTCATGTACTACGTTACTTTACAAATTTTGATATGCTACATATGAATCAGGAAAGAAAAACCCAACGAGGAAAGCAGAAATACACCACAATGTACAACAGTAATATTATCAGATGTAATTGTGTATTGATTCAAAGATTCAAAGGTTTTATTTGTTAATGAGTGAAATGCAGGGTGGCATAGTTTCAAGGCAGTACTCGAAGGCTAATATGCAATAAATCAGTGGTTCCCAACTGGTGGGTCGTGGTCTCCAAGTGGGTCACGGGTCCATTCTGAATGGACCGCAATTGAAGTTTGTAAAATACACAATTTATTTTCAAGTACAGTGAATTTCTGGCACAGAGCTTTTATTTTGAAATGCTTTTTCCAGCTGTAGAGTGAGTGACAAATTGACGGCTACTTAACAGAGACAGCAAAATAGCTCGACAACATGGCCAAAGTATGATGCTGAATGTATTAAACTGTGTCGAACTTGACCTAATGACTAAGGAGAAATCTGGACCCCATGGCTGGACTAATTAGGAACCACTGCAACAAAGAATAATAATATATGTAAAAGTAATTATTATAAAAAGACAAATGAGAAAAATTCAAACATAAAACATATACTTATACAAATAAGTATTAAAATGTGAAGGTGTATATATGGGCTGTGCTTTTTTTTAGTATATAAATATATAAAATGTAGATATGTCACAATGTGGTAGTGCTAATCAATGTATGTTCTTCCCTCAGGTCCATCCATAGACTGACACAGTTGGAAAGGTTGGATCTGGGTAGCAATGAATTCACTGAAATGGTGAGACTAATTGTATTTTGAAATGCAGCATGAATTAAGTGTTCAAATGCATATTTCCTTTGTGATCACAGGAAGCTCGTATATTAATGTCTCAGTAGAGGCTAGCCAGTTGAACCATATTTATTTGTTAAAAGACGGAGGAATCCAAACAGAAACACAGATGCTGTGTCCTATTTTATGGGGCCGCTGCCTTCTAAGTTCACATTTCAAGACCCAATACGGCATATGGTCAATCCTCTGCAGGCTGCAGCAAGTTCAGCCTGTTACCATCCTTCAGATAGACCCTGAAATGGGACACAGTGACACAATGCAAGGAAGAGAGCTCTGGATGGAGGCTGACAGGATATGACATCAGGGTCAGACAGGAAGTTGGCTATAACAGGAGTCAGTTGGCTGCATGGTTCTTGCCAAGACAGAGGGAGCATGCAGGGAGAGATTGCCAGTCTCACCCACTCTGCCAACATTTTTTTATTTTCTTGATTATTGCCAAACACTTGGTCGAAAGATGCAGTAAAGTTATTTGTTGGATCTGTAGATGTTCACAACATTAGTGCTGAGATGGTGTCCTTTGATGTTGATGCATAATTCAGTTGTTTTATATAAATAGCCACATATTTGCATATTTGTGGATGCATATGAAATCATTATATGCTGATATGGATTCTTCTGTTTGCATGTTAGCCGGAGGTGTTGGAACAGATCCACAACCTAAGAGAGCTGTGGCTGGATAACAACTCTCTACAGTGTGTACCAGGGGTAAGAACACTTTCAGCTCATACAGTTAAAAAACAACTCTGGAAATATTTGAATGACACTGTTGTTCAGATTTTTGCTCATCTGTCTTTTCTTGTCTTTTGATTGTTCCTTTCTCTTCTCGCCCTGCCTGCTGCAGTCGATAGGAAAACTTCGTCAGTTGCGGTACTTTGACTTAGCTAAGAATCGTATTGAGACGTTGGACACAGATATTTCAGGCTGTGAGGCCTTAGAAGACCTGCTGCTATCCTCCAACATGTTGCAGCACCTCCCTGACTCTATAGGTACACACACAAACACATACACACATGCTCACACAAAGACACTCATACACTCAAGGTCATGAAGATGTGGCAAAACATTCAGATTCCCAACTGTTAAGGTCCCGATGGGTCTGTGCAGTCGGCAGCAGCAGAGGACTGTAGTTATACTGGGCATATCACAGAGTGGTTCTAGCTGTGTGAGAGTGATGTAGCAGATAACTGAAAAGTGTAATAGCGATAATGGTGTCATTCTATATTTTTCTTACTGGCAACAAATCTGATGAAAAGACAAATAAAAAGCCACACTGAGTCATGAATATCTTAAAAAACAGGTCACATATAAATAGTTTCATTTTCAGTAATTTACTAAAACAGCTGGACTCTGTAGTTTTCAGCAAATGATAGTCAAACAGGAACACATTTTGCATGTGTTCGGGACTATTTTTAGACTCCAATTGATATGCATTTTGTTGCGCTGGGAATATTTATGGCAGCAGGATGGTGTATGTGGGACTGACTCAAAATAAACTATAGTGTTCATGGCAATGAAAGAACATGGCACCCACTGCAACTGTGTGGCTCACTGATTAGTACTTTTTGGACAACACTGGAGCTTTATTGTAAAGAGAAATACGCTGTATCAGCACTTACAGAAAAATATGGAATAGCACCCACTCTATATTTTTAATTTCACTTTTTTCAGTTAAAGCTGAGATATGCAGATTTCTGGAAAGGGCAAAAATCCAGTGTTTCCCATACATTGCTTTATTTAATCTTACAGTGTATTTCATTGTAGAACTGTCTCTCTGTTTATCAGACCACAAATAAAACCAGAATTAGCGAGCTACCACACCCCGCATTCCCTCTGCCTTGCTCCCCGCTGCTGTGGACTGCTTCGCCCGGGGAGGGCAGGCAGCAGCTCTGGGGATGGACATTTGGCCGGCAGCTTTAGCAACTTAAATTCAGTGCTTACGGCGGGCTGATGGTCCTCCCAGAGTATTCTGTAGTGGCGGCAAGTGTGGCGGAGGACATACTTTGATTCAAGGCTCTAGCTAGTTTGATAAACATGAACTTAGATTCAAAACTGTGAGCCTTTGACTCTGGTTAGTAGAAAGCTAAACTATTAGCAATGTTTTTTCTTCATCGCTGAAACGCTTTGCCAATATTGACATGTTTTTCTATCTTGTTTATTGTCAGACTCTCTTTTTGACTCCCTTTTTAGAAGCCCGTCTTCATTTTTTGGGGTTGCTTTGCAGCGTAAGCAGTTGTTGCTAATGCTGGAATAGCAGCTTTCATGCACAGCCAATAGGAACGGCTTCTCTCTGAAATGATCTGTGATTGGCCAAAGTCATGGGATTTTCTAAAGTCTGAAAACAGAGCCAAGGAGGGTGCAGAAGTCTCATTTTCTCTCAGACCACTTGAATTACAATATGTTGAAAGGTTATTATGGGAGTTTTGCCCAATGACGCCAAAATAAAACTGCCTACCTCAGCTTTAATGTGGTTGTAATAAGGGCCATTTCATAGCTGAGTGTATATTTATTTGAGTTGCATGATTGTGTGTGTTAATGTGAATATATCTGCGTGTTTGCGTATTGTTTAGGAATGCTGAAGAAGCTGACAACATTGAAGGTAGATGACAACCAGCTGACCTCACTGCCTAGCACCATTGGAAGGTAAGAATCTCTCTCTCATACACACACACACACACACACACACACACACACACACACACACACAAATGAATAAGCCATAAACTTTTATTTTGAAAACACCTTCAACAGTATTCTTGTCAGATTTTCTCAGCAGGTTTTATCTTTGGTGGGTTGTTGTTTTCCTTGTATATTACTGTTAGTTGCTGTGTTGTAATGCTGGCTCATGATTGGGGGGTTCTGTGTGTTGTGTTTGCTGCGTTGCTGTGGCATTAGTGCGAAGCCCAAGCACGGGTGAGTAAAATTAGCCTACTGGATCCAGGGGTGCGTTCAGAGACAGACAGATGTTTAATTGCATTACAGATACAAAGCTCACAACCACATGGGGCTGTGGGAAACATCTTAAATTTATGCAAATTACATGCAAACATAAACTTTAATACAGTTTCAAGGTATTAAGTGATCATTTTATTTTTTCTTCACATTTGCCTCCCAAACTTTTATACAATTTGGACTCAATATTTGAATAAAATCTACATTGTTAATCAGAAATGTACTTTACCAGCTCTGCTCAGATCTGCTTGGTTGAGATGGAAATGATTGCATGTAAAATGATTACAGTAATTTGGTTACAATCTAATCCATCACAGTCCAGATTCAATCACAGAAATCAGATTAGCTGCTTTTGGAAAAACAGATGAACATTTGTCGAATTAAGCAGAAACATTTTTGAAACATTTCTGAACTCAGAAGTATGGTATTGAGATTTTTTTTTTTAAATCTCTTTATACTTTAGAGATTGCTTATGAGCATAAAATTCTGCTCACATCGCAGACTGCAAATAAGAACTCCAGGATTGATAGATTTTGGAAGAAAGTCAAACCAAACAAGGCCTGCAGTAACAGAAATAATAAATTAAATCTGTATGATTTTGATTAAATTGATCATGCTCGCTTCTGCTGTTTGAAATACTTGAATAGTGACTTATGTTGCTAAGTATTGTGTGAATCAGTTAATCTGTGATGGATTACATTTTTAAAAGATTATTTAACACTCAGTGACATATACGAGACTTAAATGCCACTCTTTGCAACATATTTGTATTGGAACGCTCTGCAAACATTTTGTCTTCCTGAACAAATCCCGGGTTTTAGCCTCAATAAGTAGTAATGTAGATCCATTGCTTCCCCTCTGATTAAACCAAAAAACCTGAAAAGATCCTTTTCTTACCCCTCTAGCTTTTAACTCTTGCTTACTAATAATGAATGTGATCATATTTCTACTCATCTGTTTCTACCTATGAACAATTCTGTATATTTCTACATAAGTTATTTGCTAATATTACTAAATTGTTCAGAGTTTATATCTGCAGAATGTATGCCTGTACCTCAACCAGTACTACATTGTATTTCCCTCCAGCTGCATCAGTGCAACAGGATAAATACTGTATACTGCATATACACAGAGCTGAATCAGTAGATGTGTTTCTGTACTTGTCTTTATGGTTGTACACCCTACAGCGATTAGCATAACATTTAGCTTAACCAGAGGTAACTTTAAAATAAGCGTGCAAGCAGAATATTTCACCCCCAAAATAATCATTTGTGTATCAGTTATTCACCTTGTGTTACCTTGAACTTGTGAAGACTACCAACGGTGAATGAAGAATCCAAAAACGGACAAAATTCTTGATGAATTGAATCATAGGGGGCCGCATTTTACAAACTCTCACACAACCTGTGCAGCACAGTATAATCCAAGTCGCATTTGTGGCCAGGAAGCAACAGGCGTGGGTGAGTGACAGCATACCTCAAACACACACGCTTGCCCAGGTGCACTACTTGTCTGTGTGTGAGACTGTTTATGCAGAAGTGTTTTAAATAGTACGGTTTTAGCAAAAGTGCATGTGTTTGGGGCGCACTGAGCATATGACTGGATAAATGAGACTTCTGAGATGAGATTATACTGCACAAGTTGTGTGACAGTTTTTAAACAGATGTTTTATGGTTTCGCTTTTATTAAATGCAGCCACTGTATACTTCAATTCATTAAGAGTGTTCTCTGTTTTCTCCGGATTCTTTGTTTATTGTGGAATTATGCAAGAAAAACATTTTTTTCTACACAGTCAACATAACATGGGATGAGTATTTCATGTACAAATTATCATTTTGTGGGTGAAGTATTCCTTTAAGTTTCTTGCTGCCTGGTGAAAACCACACACAAAAGCATTTATGCTACACGAGGGAGGTTTAAACCTTGAAACTCTGTCTTAAAGTGAACTAGTGACTGCTCACTGAGCAACTGTGGTTCCTTGCACCTTCCATCGAGTGCAGGATTATGAAGCTGGTCCGCAGACGGCAGCCAAATAATCTTAGGAGTGCTGTTAAAGATGTCGTATTTGACACATTCAACTCTAGCTCTGTATTTTTGTAGGAGAAAAGGCAGACTTTTTTTAAGAAGGAATACAAAGAATGCTGAGAAGAAAATAATAAACAAGGCATCCTTAAATGTTAATATAGGATGTGAAACTCCTCTCTTCCCCTCTCTCCTGTCAGACCGTATGGTGGCCCAGATGGTCCGGTCCATCTGGAATAATAATAGCAGACTAATGCAATGTTAACAGTGACAGTACATTAATGTAAAAGTGTTGTCTCATTAGCATTAGCCTGCTGTTAGCGTGCTGCTAGGCCAATGATGGCAGTCGAGGGGGGGGTCAGGGTGTCCTGTAGAGGGTCTGCTGTGGATGTTACTGTGAATCTTGGTTGAGTGAAGGTGAGATCCAGGTTGAAGAATTTCAGACATTAAAGGGGATAAAGTGGGGAAGAAATGATGTGTGGTCAGCAAATGAGACCAAGTACATAGTAATCCCAGATTAAGATTGATTTGGTTTATTGAGTCTTAATTTACTGACTGATTCTTCAATGTGATGATCTTTACTTTCTCTCAACACTCTTCTTCTAAGTTGCTGCTATAAAGACAAATTTCCCTTCTTATTATTACATGTTACAGGATAATGCTGGTGTTATTTAATAGTTTTCTTATTGTGAACAAATCCCATAAAAAGGCCAATACCAACACTGTGTTAATCCTTGTCTCAGTACTCCATCTGTGGCACTAAGCTTCAGGCCCATTTATTCCTACTGAAGATGTTACTCTTAAAAAAAAAATATAT